ACCGCTAAAAAAAAATTATCAATTTTTTTATTAATTATCAATTATTTTTTTTTATTTTTATTACGTAATAAATAAATAAACAAACAAAAAAATGGTTTTACAGTGACGTATAAAAGAAAATACTTTTTAAAAAATTTTTCTTTACTCCCCTTCCCCTCTCTTCTCCTGTTTTTCTTTTTTTTTTTTGGTTAATTTAAAATAATAGTAACGATAAAATTTATTCAGACTATAAAAAAAAAAAAAAAAAAGTTTTATTACGGTTGTTTAAATGTTTTTTCTGTTATTTATATATTTAACAAAAAAAAAAAGAGAGAGAAAGAAAATATGAATTAAAAAAGAGAGAGAAAGAAAAAGACGAAAGAGGAAATGAATAATTTGAGGGGAAACATTAAAAAGAAAAAAATTTTTTTCATGCTCAGATTATAAAATATTCAATGTCACAGGTTAAAGAGATAGAAGAAAGAAAGAGAGGAGGAAAAAAATTGTGTAAGTTTATAAAACAAGAAGAAGATGGAGAAGAAAAAGAAAAAAGATGAAAAAAAAAAAAAAGTAGATGAGATGAAATCTTATGTTTCCTCCTCATCATTTCCTCTTCATGAATTCCAAAGCATGTCCGCGCCCAATTTCTGTTTACACATTTCTGTTATGTGAGAGAGAAAAAAAAAACCTAGTTTATCTTGTCGAGTTTTTAAAAGTCAAAAAAAAAAAAAATGATGGAAAAAAAAGTGAAAGAAAATGGAGAAGGAGGAGGAGGAGAAAAACAGAAAAAAAAATATTAGAAAAAATTCTAGAAAAAACTGGTTTACTTTTGCTTCAAGTGCAAATTTACTTTCTAATAGTTTATTTTTTTTCTTTTTTTTTTCTCGTTAGAAGTTTTTTTTTTCTCGTTAGAAGTTTTTTTTTTTTTTTTTTAAAAAGAAAAAGAAAAAACGTCTGAAAAGAAAAGAAAAGAATGGGGGGAAAAAATTATTATTATTATTATTTAACAATCGCCATTTTGAATTTTTTTATAGCGCGATTCCACCCGATTCGCATCGCAAAAAAAAGTTAAATTAAATTAAAAACTCTTCCCGTTAACGAAAGAAATTAATATTATAATCATTATAATCATTATCCACCATTAAACACGACAAGGCTACTTGTCGGAGTTTTTAAGTATTTATCCGAGGTTTCTACCCGATTCCTTAGGGACAAATACTCGAATTTCGGTGGTACCACTTATTATAAGATAGCACCACATCAATTCTTGAAGGTCTTCCTGAGTCCGTCTTTTTCGATGGGAACGATTTGTCTCCTGAACTGGGCTCCGGTGACTAACATCTTTGGAGTGGCCAGGGTCAGAAGCAGTGAAATTCACGTTCTCGTCGAGCTGCCTCAGGTCGACAGTAGAACAAGATTTTGTTTTTGGTTCTTACTTTGTCTTGTTCTCATTTTTTTTTTTTTGCTCTTTTTAAGCCAACAGCACGTGGCGTTCTCAAACGGTCACCCATCCAAGTTTGCACCACGCCCGATGCTGCTTAACTTCGGTGATCGTACGGGAACCGGTGTGACCAGCACGCTATGGCCGTTGGCTTAATCATTATTATTATTATTATTATTATTATTATTGTTATTATCGTTACAGCTTTAGGATTCGAACCTGATTTTTTATATCCGTTAGAAAATGTTACGATCGCACAAGGAAGAGACGCCATATTCACATGCGTCGTCAATAACCTGGGGGGATACCGGGTGAGTGCTGACGTCACACCAGCGCGGGTGCGTATCCAAAATTATGCCTTTTTATCTCCATTTTATATATAGATTATTATTATTATCATCACCTTTATTATTTAAAAAAAAAACCGTTGGAATCAATGTCGACTCTTCGTTTAAATTTAATTTTCTCATCTCGATGGACTTTTATTCGTTTATCCCGATTCAACAGGCGGGGGGGGTGAAAAAAAAATCACCAATTAATTAATTAATTATTTTTCGAAATTGGAATTTTATTACCTAATATTATTATTATTATTATTATTATTATTATTATTATCATTATTAAAAAAATTAAACGTTTTACATAATTTTTAAAATCGTTTCAGTTACGTAAAAACAAATAACTGACGTCATCAATTATTAATTAATTACTAAATTTTTTTGTAAACGTGAACGAGGGGACTAGAGGTAGGAGGAGGAGAAAATGAGGGGAGGGGGAGTAGGGGGAAACCGTTATAAAAAGAGTCGATGTTATCCAACGAGAGCACTTTCCTTCTTTTTCTTTTTCTTTAAATTTTTTTTTTTTTGCACTAAAAAGTTCATTAAATTAATTATTATTATTATTATTATAAAATTCGCATGATTTTTTTTTTGTAAATCGATTTTAACGATACGTATCGATCGATCGATGGATCGATTTATCGTATCGTTTTTTTTGAAAAATCATATAATACGTAATTAATTAAAAAATTAATGATATTAAATTTTATAGATACATATATACGTAAATAAAAAAATTTAAAAAAAAAAAAAAAAAGAAGGAAAAATTTTAGTCTTTCGAGTGATAATTAAATAGGAAAAAAAAAAAAGTTTTTTTATT